GTGGATATAAGAAACCTATCGATCTGAGAAGCTTTGACATTATCCTCCCCCCTTGACCAAGTGTATTGTACCCCTGGAGAGGTAAATCTATTAGGTACAAGTCTATAATAGTATTTGATAAAGCTCTTCATATCCTTAGATCTTCTAATACCTTTCTTTTCAAATCGGCATACATTTAAGTCTCTTCTAACAACCCAATGATAATTCCAGATGCCTCTCACTGCTCCTAGTTCCTGTCAAAACTCTTTCCTCTTTGTATTGGTATGAGGACATACAATCCTATGAAAGACCATCGGAGATCTTCTTAAAAGACTTTCAAAGAAACACGCAACAGAGAAGCTGCCTTTGATGATTTTCATTGCATTTTCAATGTCTTGTCCCACAGGACTGCAATACCACCCATACTACACACCTTCTATTATTTTATATTGTATTGAAGATCTCTTCAACAATAATGAAGAAAAGGGGAACTAATCAACATAAAGATTTAACATGAAAAAATCCTTGCTCACAGGAGTCAAAAACCATGACTTACCCCAATAGGATTTCCCTCAAATCTTCACTAAGAACTTGAGCGGTTTTAGATTACAAGTTTACAACTCTATTACAAAAGGAACTAACTCTGTAGTACCTTTCCTTTATAGAATCTCCCTAATTATAGTTACTTCTTTCAAGTCTCTACCTCTATTAAGAAAGCACTTTACAACTCAATGCAACACACAATACAAATCCTCTATGAATGTAAGAGATTGCAATTTCAGAACAAAGAATCAAACGAGACAAGAATAGTAAGCAATAATTTTCTCAAGAACAAGTTCTTCTGTGTTGTCAGTTGACTCCCTCTCACGAAGACATTTTGAATATATTCTCTATTTGTTTAGTGGTGTCTCTTGTGCATATCTTTACCAGCATCAGTGTGGTACTTCATGTAGGAGTAGGAATAGCCATTTCTTGTCCTCCAAATGCAAAGAAGAATTGGTTCAAAAATCCAAGAACCTAATCCAGGTTTATGTTGGTTTCCATCACGTATCAGCCTCCACTTGTTTTCTCCTATTTCCAAAGGCCTTTCCATTTGTGCAAATATGATAATGTTTCTTGTTTCTTGTTATTTGATCCATGCGTTCAGTCATTAAACCAAATTCCTCAAGAAATACTTCATGCACTTAGAATGTGCTTTGCATCTAATTTATAGTCTTCTCAAGTCTACCATGAAGGACCCGGTTCCTTCACTTCGTGCAATATACTTCTGCAAACCAGTTCTTTTCTTAGACATGTTAAGGAATTCGTTCTCAAGTAGTTGTTTGTTATAAACACTACCAGCCCTTATTTGAGACATGTTTAGAAATTGGTTCTTGTATCATGTTTGTTATGTTTGTTAATCATGAAAACTTCACATGTAATATAACTCAACGTTATTCCTCCTTTTTGATGATGACAAACCCATAACAAAACCATAGTAGTCGCATGTGTACTCCAGTGCAATCTTTCCCCTCAGAACCAGCTTTGATCAGCATATGACTTAGAGAGATGTGTGATCTTACCAAAGTCCATCTACAGATTAACCTTCAACTCATCGCAACCTAGTAGGTGGCTAGGTTATGGGAACCTAATCATATTCAGTCATCACTCTGCATAGGGACCAAGTTTGTTGATTAACAACATTCTTGAAATTTTGCATCTGTGTCCTCGTGGAATTTAGTGCATGGTGAGTGACCCTCCTCTAATTTCTCCCTTTTGGCATCATCGAAAAGCATCTTCTACGATAGAATATAACCAATCATTGAGAGAATGAGAAGGTTCATAATCCATCTTGAGCAGTCCAAGCTCTAAGCGATTTCTTCCAAAGTGGTCCCTACTCAAAGCTTTAATGAATATGTTAGCAATCTGCTCCTCAATCTTGCAAAATTCCATAGAGATGTGCCTTCAATACATTGTCTCTTCAAAATGTGGTGTCTAACATCAACATGTTTTATTCTCTTGGGACGAACTATGTTTTTTGCCATGTTCAAGACACTCCTATCATCACAAAAGTTTGGAAGCCGTTTAATCATTACACCATAATCTTAAGTTGTTGTTTGATCCATAGTAGTTGTGCACAACAGGAAGTAGTACCTGCATACTACCCTTCTATAGTAGATAACGCCACAGAATTTTGCACCTTTGTTGCCCAAGAAATCAAGCATGATCCTCGACAGTAAGCCATCCCATACGTACTCTTCCTATCTTTGAAGCATTTAGCATAGTCAGCATTTGCATATCCTATTAGCTCAAAAGGTCCTCCGGATGGGTACCAAAGGACCAGGTCCTATGTACCTTTAATATACCTAAGTATCCTCTTCACAGTTTTCATATGAGAATCCTTTGGACAAGATTGAAATCTGGCACAAAGACCAACACATATCAAGCCTGCTAGCATTCAAGTATAACAAAGATCCAATCATACCCCTGTACTTCTTTTCTTCAACCAAGGGACTTTCGTCTTGTCAAGTCGAGTGGCAGTTTCTATAGGATTATCAATAGTTCTATAGCACTTGGAATCTACTTCGCATCAGATCAATAGTCTTCTCCAGTCTACTATGAAGGACCTGGTTCTTTCACTTTATGCAGTGTACTTCTGGTTCTTCCTGTAGACATGTTAAGGAACTGGTTCTTCAGTAGTTGTTTGTTATAAACACTACCAGTCCTTTTTTGAGATATGTTTAGAAATGGTTCTTGTATCATATTTGTTAATCATCCAAACTTCACGTGTAACATAGCTTAATACCTTCATTTCCCCTCAACTAGACCACCTATTCCCTCATATTTGATAGATCATATTTGTTGGCATATTGTCCATTTTGGTTTCCTAAAGACACAATACAGTTGTTTTCCCTTTTCGAACTAGAGCCTTTATTCTTATAATGTAGACCCCTAATATTCCAGCTGAGAACTTTGATTTTCATCGGACTCTGCCTTGTAGTACTGTCCCTCTTTTTTACTGCCATCAACATAACTAATAGAACATATTAAATGCTCCTCTTCTTTGTATCTGAATCTCGTCTCTAATCCATTCTCAGAACTAAATCTAGAATCTCATGTTCACAGCCAACTACATTAATATCAAATGCCTTGCATACTTTTCTCATTACTAGAATGCACATTTTGAAGTCTCAATTACTGCAGGTTGCTGAATTTCTTGCAATTGCAATAGCAATGGTTGTCTTCATGCCAAGGTAGGAAAGCTGAGAGCATGTCGCTATAAGAAGAATTGTAGTCAATATATGACAAGCTAAAACAGTTGAAGCAATATCAGACCATATCAGGTTGAAAGTCCCTTGAGATTGTTAATGAAGGTTTCAGCTTCATTATCTGCTTTCAGGGTGATTAACGTTGATAATTACATGCAGTGGTGGTTCGGTGATGATGTTGCTTTCAGCCTAAGTCTGCATAATTCCTGTTGGTGAGACATAGGTGGTGATCAGAGTCTTCTTGGACTTATTTTTGCTAACATGGTTCGGCCAAAGCTGTTTTGGGTCTCTATTTCAGTACGGACTTGCCTTTATGATCTTTGTATGGGCATTCCTTCTTGGGACTTTAAAGTAATATAGGTAATCTGAACCACAACCCAATTTGGATTTCTCCTTGCCCTTACTTAGACCACTATGCTCAGTGGATCGGGTATTATTTAAGACCCGACCCAGCTGATTTGAATTGAAGTGCTCCTTGGCCACCTGGTTACCCACATACATCAATTGGACAGGACACTTCATCTGCTAACTCTGATGTGTTTACCACTGTTTTGACCATCAACTCCCCAATATCTTTTTCTCCGGTCAGTTTTGAGGCACTAATAGGCTTTGGTGTGGAGCGATGTCTTTTAAAATTGAAATTTCATACCTCCAGTGCTCTATGTCTAGTTCAATTTTCACTGGGCATTTATATGCAGAGTTATTGACACAGATACTCACCCAACGGTGATGATTCTGGTGCTCTGTATCCTAAACCACCGTAGAGGTCTCCAATAGTTTAAAGAAATCTAGTCTCCATGCATAAAAGGAACCCCAAAAGCCTCATCCGTTTATTCTATGAAATCTGGCTGACCTACTTAGGGCTTGTAACTGGTGACTACCATTCTAAAGCTAGACGCCGTCCATTCCACAACCAATCGTGGTGAACCCTCAACACGTCTTGTCCCGAAGGTAGCTCAATAAGAAATTGGTTGTGAGTGAAACGAATGACTTTCATACCAGTGCAGATCTTCCATCTGTCCAAAAACAATTTTAATCACTTCCTGTTGGGATTGTGATTGAATGGATCATTGACAGTTCCAACTATGCATCTCGATAAGAGCTGCTGACTGTTGCCATCTGTTTCTGGATTGACCTTGACCACATTATCGACCACCATAGCGAGGAATTCCATCATCTTCAGTCATTGTGTAAACTTAGCAGTGTCAAAATAAGACCTCATTTGCGTATCGACCTGCTTGAATCAGCGTGATGTTTTCTTCCACAGAAAGTGTAATCTGGCTGCGGGATAATCATTGTTGATTACCTGTCTACCAGCAATGTTTCAATTCGAATGTATCAGCTGTAAAAATTGAAACTTAGAAAGGCTCAGTAAATATATGCTTGTGACTTCCTCCCCCATCGTCTGTAATATTTCCCTGTTCCTTTTGATGTTTGTTTGAGAGTATCGCATACTCATCTAAAGCTTACTACGCCTATTTATTTATTTTCAGAATGTAAAGTTTACTCCGCCTATTTTAATTCTTCTTGAAATTCCCCTGCTTCTTTCGATTAACACGAATTAGCCATCCCCTGAATTGGTAAGTTCAAAACATTTTTCCATAAAAAGAAATAAGCCTTGCTTTCCATGAGTGCTAAAAAATGGAGTTTTAAACAGAGGGAAACTTTGCCGGAACATATTTCAGAGAGAAAAATATTTGGCACATTTCCCAAGATAGGAAAAAAAAATCCCGATGTTTTAATCTTTCATTTGTAATTTATAAACAAACTTACACCAAGAAGATCAAGGCCTGCTCCATCAACATTTGGTACAATAATTGCCAGGTCCTGCAAGTATGAGGGGATCCAATGAAGTACTTTGCAGAGTGAGATCCTAGAAATATGGACAGGAAAATCAAGTAAAAACAAAGAGAAATAAATTACCTTAGGAGGCCATTTTGGGAAGGCAGATTTGTAATCAGGCAGAGAAGTCACTCCAGGCCATGTATCCTCATTTGGAGTACCCATCACTCTTCATACAGAGGAAATTAGAGAACATCAAATAAAGGGGAAAATCTAATAACGTAAAGCAGAAGGAACAAAACACTGAAATTCCTTAATACAAGAAAGCTCACTAAGAACTTATGGTCATTTTTTTTATAGATATTATAGCCATGAACCTATACAGAAAAAGATAAGCCATAGCATAAACCCAATTTTGAAACCTTTCTGCATCCCATAGAGCAGTAAGAAAAGATAGAATAATTGACAGATAAAAATGCAGGTTAGCATGAACAAATGAAGATCACAATCATAGATTGAACAGCTAAAACTAAAGTTACAGAGAACTTGAAACCAAAGTTTGTCCAGAAATCCCATTCCAATCACCTTTGTTCTTCCCTTTGCCTTTATTTAGTCAAGGATTTTGGACTATGATGCATGACAAGGGAAGTGTAAAGTTTCATGCTCATCTCCTTCTGAGAAGGAACTGGAACGGTCAACAACAGGAAAACAAAATTTTACTTTCTGAAACCATGTCAATGACCATCATCAAAGCATTAGCGTGTACATTTTATTTGTCAGTAATAAAGCATCAACAAAAAGACATGTATATATTGACACCTGAAAATCTTGAAAAGTTCATCAATCTCAGAGTCACCAGGAAACAGAGGGCGCTGATTCACCATCTCAGCAAATATGCAACCAACTGACCACACATCAACAGGAGTAGAGTAATGGCGTGATCCAAGCAGTATTTCTGGTGCCCTGTACCACAATGTTACCACCTAAAACATGAAAATCAATCATCAAAGTTAAAATGAGACAACATATGGATAAACCCTCAAATGGGTTCTGGATCTTAAAGAAGCAAATATAAAAGATATAGACTCTACTTTTTAGACAATTGATGGACAAAGCTTGGAATCCTAGGGAAAAACAATTCTTAATTGTTGGTATAAAATATAAAGCAGCTGATTCAGTAAAGTAGGTTGCAATAAGGGCCCAGTGTCATTATTATGTTACTAAGAAATGGCTAGGTGGGCTTTTAGTAGCGCCCTTAGAATCTACGCCCTTTGAAGCATCAGTGGCATGTTGAACCATGACTGTCAGCGGTGAGAGGTACCCCTAAAGTGATGGCCACGGAGATAGTATTAAACAAAAATACGTTATTGTGATGTAGCCTGTACAATTACAGGTGGGATGTTCAATACCAATTCTTATAGTACTGTTTGGAGAGTCGATAAGCTAATTCTTGAACTATCAGCAAAACTAATAGAATAACTTAAAGCCATAAATGTTTAATGAATACTACATAGAGAAAGAACTTTTTCAGTTAGACAAATTGGATAAAATATTAAAGAAGATATCAGACATGAAGCAAGTTTCTGAGTCATAGATAACCACTTCTCCTCGGGCTTGAAATGGAATATGAGATAAGGTAATAACAATAAGACAAGGTCCAGCGCATCTTAGAGAGAACAAAAAACCATGCTTGTACCTCGTGAGTGAAAGTTCTGACAGGAATACCAAATGCTCTAGCCAAACCAAAGTCTGCCAGCTTTAACGCATTTGTACGTCGATCTATCAGCAAGTTCTGAGGCTTCAAATCTCGATGAAGAACTCTATGAGAATGACAATAAGCAATACCACGGAGTATTTGATACAAGAACATCTGCAGAATTGGAAAGATCACTTAATTGCTGACAACAAGCAAGAAGCCTGTGAAACTGATAAACGTAACCACTCAAGTAGCACTTAATCAAATTATAAATCAAATAATCTTTGTTTTCAAGTATTTTTCTTAGCTCATCACCCTCCCTCTTGAAGTTAAAACTGTAAATAGAGCTGCAAGTTATGACCAGCTTCCTGATGAAGCAACAAAAAATGGCTAACACACAGTGACAAAGCAAACCTCCAATGTATAATAGAGATTTTACTCACTTTAACCAGACGTGGATCCTTAGAGAATTCAGGACACGAATCCATGTGCTTTTTCAAGTCCAAGTCAAGATATTCAAACACTAGATACAATCGCTTTTCACTGTGCACCACATCCTGCAACCTGTCACCAATAAGAAAAGAAAAGGAACTTTCTTGGATTTGCAGAAGATACTGGTACAAACTAGAGAAACAGCTTTCCCATGTTACAAAAAAAAATGATTTCACATTGCAACTGAAGGTACAGATGTGTACTCTGTGAATCTGTTATCTGCTCTCTAATTTATTCTAATTCAATCTGCCAAACAGAAGAAGACTAGCCCCCATCACGCAGATCCTCTGGCTTCCACTCATGGCATCCCTCCCACACACACACGCCATCCTAAGGAGGTCTCTTTTGCACTAACAATTATTATTCAAAAGAATAATCAAATGGTAGTCCAAGAATCTTTCTACTTTTACTTTTACTCTATCATCATTCAGAAAGCAACTGAACATTTCAACCGGCTTCTAAACCTTAGTCTTATAAGGTCAACCGTTTCTAAACCTTTCAGATATACAAACTCCAAATTATATTATAGTGTTTGATGTTCAAAAGCACAAGACAGGTCAACAAAATAAAAAAATGAAGTTTAGAAACAAGGTCTAGCTAATATACAAACATGTGGGGGAAAAACTAAAAGCTTAATTACTCCTAAAAAATTTCTATCCACTAATGGAGGAATGACTGATGAACTTCTTGGTTTTTCAAATATTCTACCTTCAAAAGAAAATATGTGGTCTAGTAGTCAATGAAGTGGGTTGAGTAGGTCTCAGGTTCACATCACATCCCAACAGATGCAAAAACACTAGGTGAATTCCTATCTCTCGCAGCCTTGGTGGAAATTTTTACCAGATACATGTGATGACGAATTATAGTAAGTATCCCGTGGAATTAGTTAAGGCGCGCGCAAGTTGGTCCGGACAGCACGGTTATAAAAAATTATTGGCTATTGCAGGACCGAAAATGTGTAGATGTGGTATTGATACATACATGAACAATGTATACAGTACTTCAAAACTAAATAAGTTGTTGAAGTTTACAATTGTAGAATCCAAGTTATACCGTATGGCTTTACCTTCCATACTAGAAGTTGCCTACAAAGTATTGGAGTATAACCATTACAAAGTAGAAGTTATCAAACCCAATCAAACTTGAACAAGAGTTGGATATAGAGTGGTACAGAACGGAGGAACAATATATCCCATGAGGATTCCTCCAGATAAATTAAAGCAACAGATTTCAACTGCTACATCCTGTCCCGATGGCCCAAAGTAAGATGCATGGGAAAAGATTATCTTCATCAGGGATTACAGTATTCAAAGAAAATAGGTATTTAAGAGAAATTTTCACAAATTGGTAAAAAGGAACAGCACCAAGGCCAGAAAGCAATATGAAATTTAAAATAATGAAGGTCCTGCATAAATTTTTAATAGAGGATCACTAGGAAATAGAAATAAACCGAAGTTCACATATAATCAACCTCGCACTGATAGCATAACCACAAGAAACCAAAGCAGGGTCCAAATTACACTCTAGGGCAATCACAACAATACAGTTGCATAGTAATATCATAAAATTATACCTCACAATATTAGCATGTTGCATCTCTTTCAAGAGAGAGATTTCTCTAATAGCTGTGCTTGGTACCCCCTCGTCTTCCTGCTCCAACCTTATTTTCTTTAGTGCAATAGTTTCATTAGTTACACGGTCACGAGCCTTGTACACTACACCATATGTTCCTTCCCCAATCTTCTCAACTTTTTCATACTGCAATTACTCCCAAAATCACAATCAACATAAGAATAACCCTAAACCCAAAAGCAACTAAAGTCTAAAGATATAGATAATAACTCCTTTACCTGGTCCATCTAGTTCAAACTCAATGGACTCCCTGAAAAAGAAAGCAGTCGAAACACAAGAAAAATCTCAGACAGCAAAGTAGTAAGCAAATAAAAAAAAAAAAAAAATATATATATATATATATATATATATATTGTAGCATATATTAATTCTTACAATGGAGAGGTAATCCAAAAACATAGTACACATTTAACTATCAACTATCGAAGTAACATTTTAAACACATTTCACCTCAATGCAGATACAAGCAAGTTCTTTTAATTGCAGTTTTCGCTTTAAGCACAGAAAACGCTTTACTGCAAACTTTAGTGTTCGGTACCTGATATTGTTAAAATGCTTTCTCCATGCAAACTTGCAACTTCACACTTGGAAACTATTGGTAGAGAGTTAAAGAGATAACATGAATTAGGGAAAATCAATTTCAATTGGTCTCAGTGTTGTAAGATAAGGATGTCTTTCAATCAAAGCAAGTGTCTTCGATTACAAACATCACATTTTTTAACATAACTACATCAGAGATCCCCAATTCAATCAACACAATAATGAACTCTAAGCATAGAAATTAACCACGAATAGATAATTGAGAAAACAGAACATGTATGGAAATAAATATGCTACATTATTAAATTTCCGCAGTAATCAGTAGATAAAATCTAATAAAGCTTCGAATCTATCGATTTACATACGAAAACGACGAACAGAAATGGCAGAAAGTTTAAGTCATGTGTATACTATGGTGAAGTGGTGCGTTGCCATCGGAGTATAAATGAAAACGGAGTGGAGAATGTGGAGTCACCTTTGGTCGGGAAGAGAGGACGAAATCGCCGTCGTGAAGCGGAGGAGGAGGCGACAGGCAAGTGTCGGCGTACTTCTATGGTTCTACCAAAATGTTTGGACTACAGTCAACTTTACTCTTCTTTTTTGCTTCTATTTGCACAGGAGGCCAAAATGCATTTCATCATTTCATTGCATTTTTTTTATTTTTTTTTAACTTCTCCTTCATTTCCTTTTAATAATGTAATTTTTAGTTTTTGTTTAATTAAAATTTAGGAAAAAGGATAAATATATCATCGAACTATCGTAAATGGTATGTAGATATCATCCATCATACTTTTGGTCATTCGTGCCTCTGTCGTCCAAAAACTAGAGCATATATATATTCCACTCTAACAGAAGACTAAATAGGGACACGTGGCGCAATCTTATCCGTCGATCCAATATTTAATAAATGTTGGGTCGGTGGATAAGATTATGACATGTGTATGTCCGTTAGTATAAAGGGTATATATGTTCTAGTTTTTGGACGGCAGGGGCACCAATATCCCAAAAGTATGACAGAAGGTATCTACATACCATTTACGATAGTTCGGGGGTATATTTGTCTTTTTTCCCTTAAAAATTATATGAATACTTCTTTTTAAAATAAAATTAAAGGTGAGGCTAGAGGGCCTCACAACATAAAGCACATTATTATTGGTGTTAATTACTCGTTGAAAAGAGTAGTTTTTGAAATTACATTTTCTGCTAGTTAATTATTCTAGATACATGTATCTGACGACTCAAATATATATATTGCGAGTCATATTAGGTGTAATTTGTATATTGTATTCAAAGTGTGATTCACATGTATTTGATATACACCAACTCGGTCTCTCACCTATCTCTCTCGCCCCTCTCCTTCATTGTATATTTATTTAACAATGTATTTGAGTTTCATAATTTTATGTATTTTGTGTATCCAGTATCAATTTCAGGTATCTGCGTATTCAAAATCAATTTCATCTAGTGTTATCCTGTAACATCCCAAAAACTTCTAAGTTAAGACTCAAACCATTCTTCATTGTGAATAAGATCGTACCAAGTCATTCTAAATTTTCTTAGGTGTTAAGATCACTAGAATTCCCTAGCATAAAGTTGAGTTGAAAACTTTCTTTCCAATTGAATTTCACTATGAGATTTTTCTTGGGTCAACTTCAATCAACCATATCGTTTAGCACATAAAGAATTGGGTGGCCCATGAGCTATCAAATCGAAGGTCTTGACTCCTCTTTCCAACGCCACCAAGTTTGCTAAATTTTGAGCTCCGAGTAAAACGTTATGTCGAGTGAAGCCTCTCAATTTAAGGTTTTTCATTTGTTTTAGGAAGGGTATTTTGGTCTTTTCCTTTTCCCCACTTGTCTTAGCACATTTTTCCTGACCCAATTAAGGGTTTAGTCAGATTGTAAATCACCTATTTACATTCCAAATCACTTAGAATTTTAGTGCGAGATTTCAAGAAGAGAAAAAGAGGGTTTTCAAGTGTTCATTCAAGAGTTGAGGAATTTTGCCAAGAACAATCGTTCTTTCCAGGTATGTGAGGTTTTGCATAGTGATGGACATGTTCGTCCTCACACCAAACATATAATTCTTTCAATAATTCGTCCATGAAATCGTTTATGTAAAGATTCTTGAAAAGTTCTTGAGTTTTAGCCTTATTCTTTAACAATTGAGTTGATTCTGAGTTCTTGAGTTGAGGGTCTTGCGAATGAGTTGTGTTTCTTGATAGAATTTGGGTTGAATTTCAATGAATTTGTGTTGGGTTTGTGAATCAAAGGGAGTTTGGAAGAAACCATTCTAGATGAGTTAGGACCCAAAATTGAGCAAGAAAATTTGGCGGATTTTCGAATTTGAAGTGGGGCAATGCGCCCCCAAAGCTCCAAGAGGGATGACGCCCTGCGCCAGCAGTGCGCCCCAAAGTACTCCCAGTACTTTGAGGTCTGGAGCCCTGCGCCAGGGTCGTCAAGCCCATTTCTTCTCCCTTTTTCATCTCGTGTGTTCTTTTAAATCATGTCTTCGCTCTCTTCTTGATATTAACTCTTAAAGTCTTCATTAATCCTTGAAAGATCCTGCATATCCTAATCACATATCTTAATTTACACTTCGAATTAAAGAAAAGTTAAGCGAAAGTTTAAGAGGTCTTTTTTAAGTCATTTTGAGAAGTCTTTTGCAATTAACTATAGACTTGAACTAAGTCTTGAGTAAATGAGTATGAGAATGAAAAAATTGTATTCATGAGTCTATATTGTTATTGAGATCCTTGAGTTGTGTCGTTCATGTCCATAATTTCGCATGAACCCTATGAATCGAGTATTCTTGAGATTAGAAGTATTGTTGAGTTTTGAGTATTGAGTTTCTATATTGTTATTGAGATCCTTGGAGTTGATTCGTTCATGTCTATATTTTTAGCATGAATCCTATTTTGAATTATAAGTCTTGGAGAGTTTTTGAAAGTCAATCATTGTGTCTTAAACTGAGTTTTGAGGAAAAGTTTAAAGAGAGGATTTTGAGTAAAGTTTAAGGGAACTAAGTATTCCCAAATGTATCATTTTTACATTGAGAAAAAAGAAACTTTGATTTATAAAAAAAGTTTATGGGTTCAAGGATATTTTAGAGAAGTTACCTCTTTCAAAAGAATAATTTGAGCAATTATCTCAAACCAGAAAAAGAGTATGTCTTATACATTTGAGCATGAGTATATATTATTGGGAGTAGTATTGAACACAAATATGGGGATGAGTTCAGACAACTCACAATCCTCATAAATCATGTATGCCAACATGGGCACATGATAATACTTTTTAGATGAATCCTAAGTGCCTTCAGGGAGAGCTTAGTGAATCCACTTATTAGTTGAGGTATTCTATACCCCAGCAAGGTATAGAACAGTTCTGGCAGCGTGGGTGAGACGTTGTATCATCACGTAGCTCATAGTGATGGTTGTCGGTTAGAGAATCTCCCAAATAAAAGTAAAGAGTATTTTATTGTATTTTTATATACATCCTTCAGTTAGTATCTGTTTATTATGAAGCTTTAAACATTTTATCTTTTGTTATTGCTTTCATATTGGAGTTGAGTTAAGGTGAGTATTGTTTTCCCATGTTATCAACTTAGTTAACTATGTTTCAGTTTCCTCTTACATGCCGTATATTCAATGTACTGACGTCATTCGACCTGCATCTTTTAACGATGCAGATACATGTATTCAGGGATGTGCTTCGTTGAGATCATTTGACATTCTAGTTAGCTTTGGTGAGCCTTCCTATATTTCGAAGGACTTCACCTTTACCTTACAGTTAATAGTTTTGAGATATCGTAGGTCTTGTCCCGATATCCTTCTATAATAGTAGAAGCCCATAGATAGATAGAATTGATGATTTTTTTAGTATTTACTTTCTTTGAGTTGTTTTACAAATTATAAATAATTCTATTGAGTATTTTCTAGACCTTATGAGTTAAGTAATTGAGTTTAACAGATTTAATTCAGTTTTAAGCTTATGTAGGCTCAAAATAGTTTTACGCTTGTAGTCAGCCAAGATAAGGGTTCGCTTGGGGACCAACAATGATTCTTGAGTGTCGGCCACGTCCAGGGTGTAGGCTCGGATTGTGACATATCCAATATCAAATATGTAATGTGTTCAATATCATATATGATGTATCTAGAGCAAACTTGGACATTGTATCTAGTGTATCCGTGCACGTGCATAGATATAAGTATCTGATATCAAAGATACATATATTGGATATCAAATATGCATTTATATATTCATCAATTACCTCTAAATGTCATCAAAATCGAGTTGAAAGTGGAAAGAGTTGGATAAAAAGTGGAGAGGGGGAAAGAGCAAGGGAAAGGTGCAAAAAGAATGGAGAGAAAGGGGAGAGAAGGGACAACTAAAGCTAAACAAAAAGACAAATGAATCTCAGAAAAGAAAAATGGACAGCTGAAGCGGCGGATGTGTCGAAGTTATCTCTTACTACATTTTCAACGACAACAACCAGTACAGATAAGGAGTTTCGCTCTTGTCCATATTAACAATGTCGACAAAGTCCAGGTCCGGTGATCTATATTGTTATATGGCCATCGACAGTGGTAACCACGTAAGATATGAGAATCCTTCAAGTGTTAAGTCCTCATTAATATCGAAGATGTTAAGTTTTAACTTCCCATGTGAAATTTATGCTAGATTTGCCTTAATGTCGGGTTGATTTAATCTTAAGACACCTAAATATCTCACCGGATGCTTTGGTATCCGGTTCTAAGACGAAGAACTTCTTCACGAATGGAGCTAAATAGCAAGACAAAATTATTCACACCAAAAAAGTATTGTTAAGTAAAACCTCGCCATAATGGAATGTTTCAATTGATCTGTTCCTTTGGGGTAATACTTAGGGTGATTTATAAGTTTAAAAAGGATATGGTAAGACATATTCAAATTATTCAATGGTCGTATTTTAGGTTTATAATCCAAGCAAGTTGTAAGATAAAAGTCAGCAAAAGTTATCGCAAGTTACTTTCATAATCATTCAGAAGATTTGGGTCAAATGTCCTAGAGCTTTTCTCCCAATATATAAAGAGTTTGAGGGCCTACAACCTATCAAATCACAAGTATACGAGTCCAATTTCCAATGCATTAAACCGTTTGTCTATACAACTTAAGAATAGAGAGATATTTACTGTAACATCTCGCAGTTTGAAATAGCTAGGAAGAAGCTAAGAATTGGAAATAGTCATTTTTGGAAAGAATTGAAAATCTGGAAATTTGTTTAGGTTAGGAAAAATGAGTTTTTGGTCAACTTAAAACGGTCATAACTTCTAGTTCATGATAAGTTAGGTATACTTTCAGATATGGTTGGAAAGCTCTTGGAATGATCTTTCCAATGTCGTCGAGTTTGCGCGATTCCAAGTTCGTATGAGTAAGTTATGCCCTTTGAAAGTTGGGTTGTTGGATTAAGGAAAGTCCAAATCCGGATTTTTGAAGGGTAGTTTGGTCTTTTCATTAATGTAACATCTCGCAATTCGAAATAACTAGGAAGAATTGGAAATAGTTATTTTTGGAAAGAATTTAAAATCTGGAAAATTTGTCTAAGTTAGGAAGAGTGAGTTTTGGTCATTTTCAAACGGTCATAA